ACCGCCAGTGCGGGGCCGCCCAGCTTATATATTGCACCAGCCTACAACCTCAGCAAGTCGCAAATGGTCCAGCCGCAGAAGCAGCTACATATAAACCCATCGAGATAATAGCGAATGGCGTGCCGCTCCCGCGATACACCAATTCCAATGGGTTGGGCTCAACTGATCGGTCCCTATCTAACCCTTCCGCTAACGCTCTGGCGTTTCGCTTACGCGCTATCGCGTGCGCCGATTCGCCTGGGAATACAAGACTTTACGCAAGCTCGTCTATTCTCTTCATTCTACGAACAATGCTCCACAGCAATCCTCCTGAGGCGATGAGATGTGACGTTTTCCTTCGTCACACCACAACACTAATGTATCTTCCAAAATGAAGTTCTCCAATTAGTCTGCAAACTGAAAAACTACGAAGGATTATAAGGAGGATATAAGGATAAGGATTTTCGTTTCCATGGTATTCTTCAAAAAAAGTTGGACTAGTTGAAGAATGAGCAAATATTTCAGCTATAAAAGGAGCTGTAGTCACGACTCAAGCGAACACAAATCAACTGCAACAAATTTTACAAGGTAGTGGTGGATGTCCGGTGCTGCATTCCACATTGCATGGACTAACAAGAAATTTCTTCCAATGTTTACTGCATGTTTGTATCAATGAGAAATGGGTCAGCATCACTACAGAAAGTCTAAAACTGTTTCCAAAATATACAAAGTATCGTAGAGGACGAGTATGGGTAATAAAGGAAGTAAAAAAGTAAAACAGTATGGAACTAGCAAACTTAAACTAATATGAGGAGACAAGACGGAGTTTCAACTTCAAACAGATTATGATATACAGGCAATGATATTTACAGTAGATGAAGACAAAAAGAGCGACAATGAAGTAGACAAGAAATAGAATAGCAAACAGACAAAACCGACTACAAATCCACAGGAATATAGAATTATTATATTACAAATCATTACGTAAAACTAAATTATAAATTCATATACAATTACTATAATTGAAACCAATAAAGGGGAAGCAATCATTGTAAACAAACAGAATAATCTTAGCCCACCTCACTTTTATGTTCTAAAGCTCCATCGAATAGTGTTAGGATTAAAAAGTTCATTTCAAGGAAGAAGGAAGGAAGAGGCCTAATTGCAAGGCGATGTGTTTTGCCCATAACCCAGCATCCTGAAGATTAAATTTTTGTTTGCATCTCTGGTGCTGAGAGGTAATGGTTCCATAAATCTTGTCCATATAGAGGTCGAAAGAGAGAAGTGAGACTGGCGGTATTTTCAGAACAAGAGGGGTGCAACTAGACTGAACCGAGAAACCAGAGTGGAGCTGAGAAAATACCAAGCAACAAAAGTAAATATCAAAACCATCTCGTTCTATTGTGAAAGCCAACAATTAGCGTTCCTCCTAAAGTGAAGGTACTTCCCCACTACTTCCCGTAGCGATTTTACCAAATCTGCGATGGATAGGGTAAGAACTCACTATTAGAGCAATCTTACTGCGTCTAAACACGCATGAGAACAGCCACAAGTGAGTCGAAAAATGCAGGATCTGCCCGTTTTATTGATGCTCGGACTTCAACCGATTCCAAACATCTATGCAGGCAGGTTCGTAGAGTCTTCTGAAAAGGAACATAGGTAAAACATGTAGGGCGGCAAATTCTAAGCTCTCATTAGGAGAAATGTTGAAGCATAAAACCAATTCGTTACCTCCGAATTTTCTTTTTCACGAGTGAGCACTTCTTCTCGGTAATGCGTCGAGGAAGCAAGTGGCTTACCTACAGAACAAGCTTTTCCCTGAAAGGAAAGGAGCCATAAATGTCAAACATAATTTTAAGTGAAAGATGGAACAAGATATACAGTCCATATCCGACCGGTTGAGGGGGGCGGTCCCACGGACGTACCAGCGCTGCGGCCGCGACAACGCGGGGATGGAAGGTTGCCGTATCCCAGTGATTGAGTGGTGTCTGAGCAATCCGTCCTGCCGTCTGCATTCCTCCGCATGCACTATCTTAGCAGTACGACGTAGCCTTTCCATCTGCGCTCTCGCCACTTTTCCGTCTGCGCTCTCGCCACGGTCGATCAATCGAAATTTATCAGCTGTTTTGAGCTGAATCCGGCTAATTTCGGTTAATATTCTCAACTGCGCGCTTCTTTTTCACAGGTAAGTAAGTTTTAAACATGCTAATTTGCTTCTGCATGTCTTCTGATTGATTTTATGTCCAACCATTGCCCCATTAGTAGCAATTATTCTTATTTTGTGCGGTCGGATATGGGCTTACGTTGATCATTATTATAGGATGTGAAATGGAATTTTAGGAAGCGGCATATACCAGCTCTTCTTGCTATGTGGTGTTTTTAGTGTAGTTACCGAACATTCTACGGAAACGGTAGCTGCTCGCTTCGCCAGCTATCTACGATAACTATGGAATAGCTCCAAGCACTCACTTGCGAGGAAAACAAGCCTAGCATTTTTATGCAGGATTCCATCCCAAAGTACAACAAAAGGTAAACGAGTTATCTAGTTCCTATGCCATCATGGTTTATAGCACTGAGATGATAGGTTGCTTTCAAAACAACCTACCTTTCGACTGCAATGATTCTTTATCAAAACAGTGGAAGTAGAGAATAGCTCACCTCTGACACATTCACCGCTACAGAGTCCTGCAGATTATCGCATGTTTTTGGAGAAATATCAAACTTCTTAGTGGGTCCTAGAATCTTATATGGTAATGATGATTCGTGTAAGCCATTAAAAAACAAGATGGTCTAACAACCTCCATGCAATAATATCTATTTAAGCTTCGTCTCCTTCAGCACAACCTCAAAAGATGTGTTCCCATTTGTGCCCACTATACTCTACTTCATGTTAACACCATCAGTTCAACTTATTCGTCACAAACTTAACTTAGAGACAAGGCTCCCTTCGAGATCAGTTCACCTCTTTCTTTTTCTTCAATAAGTCTGGCAAACGGGACGAAGCCGACACCCACGAGCCGAAAGTACAAAGTCCACACTTATACTCACTGTATAAAGGAGGAAGAGGAAGCCATGATTCAACTTTTCAACAACCAACCGTTCGCAGCAGTGTGGTTACGGACCCCATCGCCATCTGCTTCCCTCTGTTTTACGCATTGTTTCGTCGAAGATGGAGATTCACGCTGGAAATACAATGAGCATTTGCATACAAGTTGGGGGTACTGGTGTATTTGCTACTTTCTGTCCAATATCTACAACAAGCGTACACCAAACACGATCGCATATGGAAAACTCAAAATCTGTATGGCCAGATGGGCGCCAAGCAGAGGGTCAAGTATGAAACGGTGCCAATTTGAGGGAGAGGGCGATTGCAGCAGTACGAGCTTAATGTTGAAGCTTCTATACGTACAAGTAATATGCCTACATCCAAATTTTACCGCAACGCCATTTAAAAAAAAAGAAAAGGCTTAAAAAATGAGATCAAAACGATAATTTTTGGAATATCACATCCTTCTTAAATAGTTGGATTCCAAGCTCACCACGGAACGACCAGCGCGTATACCACCTTCTTCGAACGGTTTAATGAGCTGGCGTACTTTCATAACTCTCCATTTTGTGAATTCGTACTGCTTATAATGTCGTACAGCGTTGACACGATAAAGGCCATACGCTAAAATAAAACTAAAAACCTCACTACAAATTGGTACAAAATGACGTAGTGACATGATGAGACTAGGCATGGCAGGCAAACCGAGGTCTCCAAAGCGGCCGTCCGAGTCGACCACGAATTCCAACCTATCACTCCATACGATATTATTCCCGTGTTCATCCGTACAACCAATATGCTCGACAATTACATCCAACTATAACTCCACGTGAATAATAATAATAATAATAATAATAATAATAATAATAGCAAACGAACGAAACACGCCAACTTTCAGCACACCTTGAAGAAATTACCGTCTCGGGACGTGTTCAAGTTATATGTAGTTATCGGAATGACTGGCCCAACAACACACGACGATTGTTCAATTCTTTGATCTTTGCAAGCATCAAAGTATACTTCACAGCCAAGTAAAGCATCGAGAAGCTCCGGATTCCTGAAATAAACGTAAAAAAACAACTGCTTACAAATGTTCATTCACTTTGACACAACGCCCGGCAGCTTAAAAAGCTTCCTGGTTCACACTGACGACAGCGCATGTTCGGGTTTTGGCACCGCCTAATACCACAGCGATTTTGCGGGCGCTCTCGCCTCACATCCGTGGGCTTTGAGCTGTAAATATGCAAAACTTGAATTCGATAGAATATTTGAATTGTATTGAATGCGTTCAGGTTGTCGGGAGATACGAAGCGACGCTCCGACTATTGCTCCATCATTATAGTCTTTTCATGCCCGTCGTATATAGTCGCACCCACTAACAGCACTTTAAAGGAAGTGGTCACGATTCTCATGGGGACGATAAGGAAAGCTATGTATTGGAGTGGATAGGGGTCCTGCCCAATGTTAGAACACGTGAAGTTTCAGTGGCAGTGGCGCCTTATCAACGGAGTGATAAGGCGCCGAAATCCACTTCCGGTTAGCAAAAACAAAGACTTATCGATGTGGAAAGGGGTGCGATGGCAGCGTGCTGGATATGATACCGTTAAAGGCACGAGTCAGGATAAGGCACTCATAGGAGGTGCTCCTCCTAATATGACTGGGTTGCACTCAGAGGGGTGGACACACGCTCTCAGTCGCAGAAGGCGGGACGACAGGCAACACGAGCGTGACTACTTCACAGCGACAGCCGGCTTTGCAGCCCATCTCACAAGTGGTGTGTGGCTTGGCATACGGTGAGTCAGTAGCGAGTGATTGCGTAGTCAACGATGGGTCGTGGGGCATCGGCTGACATGTCTGGAAACTCGTTTGGACGTGCATCTCTCCCAAGCCAGCCTTCTTCGCTGTTAGTGGGAGCGAGGGTTTCGTTTTCGGCCTTGTCGACGGTTTCTATAAATTTTTTCTCCGCTGTCGATCCATTTCGCATCTCTATACTCAGTTTTAGTCGCCACAATACCATATTGAGCCCTACCTTTGCTTGAACGTTATCGTCCCATTTTCATTCCGCAGTGCACCTCTTACCAAGCAGCGTTCATCAAAAATTATCTATCTCAGACCCTATTGGTTGATAACGCGACGACGGCAAACCCATGTGGAAGCCAGCTTCCACATGGATTTGCTATCGTCGCTTCCTTTACGCCCTTGAGGTTGAAGGAAGAGAGAACTTTGAATCCTCGAAAGGCGATCAATTCAGAAGTCAAAGGGCGCGAAACTTACACATTTGTTCCCGTGAAAAAGCGCACATCTTTAGGGAAGTGACGAGATGTTATAAAATTGACTGCGTTAGTATATCCCTTCTTAATAGCTCCAACAACACCTCTGTACGGTAAAGGTTGGTCAGGAGCCTGGAAAAAAATGCCAACTCACAGAGAATCCGAAAAAGAATTTTGCGAAATTTGTGCTATACAAAGTTTAAATTTAAAAAATCAAAAACTACGAAATGAAAACTGTGAAATTTTGAATAGTTTCTGATTACAAGTGCGCTACAAGTTAGTTACCGGGTCACCGTTTCACCCTACTCAGCTTTTCATGGTATACGTACCATAGCTTTCAGCACTCACACGTATAACGTGTTGAGCCGGTTAGCCGATATCGGCAATGACCGCGAGGCTGAAAGCTTTAGCAATTAATTTAGATTTGTTTTTGATCATTAACGGCGGAAGTGGATGTAGTGGCAAGTGGCACGCTTACCACGCGAGCGGTCCGGGGATCAAATCCTGGGTCGTGCCAACCAAGCCTTCCATCCCTCCGGGGTCGGTTAATTGGTACCAGACTTGTCTGGGAGGATAAAAAACACTGACTTGTACATCGGCTGGCCCCCGCAAGTCATTGTATAGGCCACATCGCATTCAAAACGCCACTACGAATGTACAAATGGAAGATACGTTGCCGCATCCCAAAAAGGGATTCACATGAACGGCCAATCTTTGATCCTTTGCTTCTTTTTGATCACTTTGACCGGTTTGGCCTGCAGAAAGCTCCACAAGAATGCTGAGTAAGGGTGAAACATGCCTCGATAGCGTAGTTTGTATCGCGCTTGCCCTATAAGCGGAACTGCGGCTTCGCCCTGCCTGAGACGGGAGTTTTTTCAATCCAGTTCCTGTGAAACTAGCTGAAGTTTTTCAAACTCAGTGAAACAAGGTGAAGACCTCCTTTACAGAGCCTTCAAGTACATGTATAGTATTACAGTATAGTAGTAGGAAACTATGAAATATAACATGAAATAATCAGATTTCCTCCAAATGCAAAGAGGATGCAAAAAGGAAGGGCTTCTTCACTCCTGCCTATTTCTTAAGACTCCGCTCTATCCTTGTGTTTCAATAGTTTGCTCGATGTCGTCTAATTGTAAGTAAGATAGTAAATTAAAGACGGCTCCAGCTATAGGAAGACGGACACTGCGCTGTTGCCGAAGGGGTTTTCTCCAACGTAGATGCCTTCCGAACAGTTTTGAGATAAGTCAACCCAGCGTTCCGCCTCACGTGTGTAGGCGACAATGATGGATTCGTACTTTTTCAAATATCAACTTCCGCCCTGCGCCTCGTTTCCACAGACACCAAACGAAGAACACGGTAAACAGGCAGTCGCAGAAAAGCACAGCCACCAGTGTGGCTGGCAACCCGCAGAACTGATTGAAAGCCAGTATCTTGATATGTGCTCTATATTCACAGTGAAAAAACGGACGAAAAAATTGTAATGAATAAAAAGAACCAAGTGACCACACAATTTCATTAGAAATGGCAGCCTTCTGCAGACGAAAACGGACGGAAGAGCGGGAGTGGCGAAATCTCCCGAATCGCGAAATGAATCGCTGGGCAACCTTGACGTGTCGAAGTAAGCTTAGACAGCTAGAGGAGCGTCATATAAATTCCTACACTCTTCTTTACCAGTCCTGGAAAGCTTACTGGCACCGAGCATTGTAGGGTGGTTGGGCGAATGGAAGAGGAAATTCAATTGACTCTATTCAGGGTAACCTAACCTCAGTCCAGTTGGAGTAAATACACGCTGTGGCACTGGCGCTGGCTGGGCTGCGCGGATTCAATGTGTGCAAAAACTGGCGCAATACTCCGAATTGAATTCTAGAAGTGTCACTAAATTCAGAAAGTAGCTCTCCCACCTCTTCACTACCAGTCTTATGATACTCATCAACTGTGCAAAGCGTCCACCGGTATCCATCAGGCTCTCCGACAAACGTTACAGTAGCTTTTAGCTTTCCTGAAATTATAAATTACATGACGCAGTCAGAAAAATTTATATTCAGGACTTTAGAAGATACGCGGACAGATGGCAAATCTCTATGCGAATTTTTATTGCTGAAAACCGTATCACACGCGCGGTGTGGTTCGCTGGGACAGAAAGGCGGAAGTGTCTCTCGTCCTAACTATTTCGCTGCGTGCGATCCCAGGTGCATCGCTATTGGGTGCGCGGATGGGGTTCCCGCAAGCGCGAAAGTTTCGCGCTGCGAAAGGAAACGTCCTCTCTGTTCTAGCTAATCACATCCCGCCAGCCTGGTGAACCAATTATTGTGATGGGAAGAAGCAGATCTATAATAGTTCTATTAATCAATTTATTCAGGAGTCACGATTCAAACGCCTTTGAGATCACGATATGCTGCGAAGTAAACAGTCGGTTGGCCTCTTTTGCCTATTTTAGATCGAATTCTCAACGATTTTCTCATCCGATGAATAACTGCTACTTCAAGAATCCAAAGTTTAATCAGTATCGGACAACACTCGGTCGTACGCCGAGATACTACGTCTCAAACACTACGCTGTCTCTACCTACTGCATTTCGCGATCGGCCGCATTCGATGTACCTATGAGAGTGCTGGGGAAACCACCTACATCATGTTTTCAGAGTCATAGCAGAACCCATCTATGAGGATTGAATTTGGAAAGAATACTTGGAAAAAAAAACGTTATACGTTTCACAGTTTTAGGAAAATTTAATGTTCTGCGTTTTGAAAGTTGTTCTCTGGAGGTTTCGTCACATCGTTGAAGAGTCACCTAGTTCACTAAAGTAGCCCTTGGATAAGCTTGCATTAGTTTTGATCACCTTCGAGTACCATAAGTCGACGATCACACAAAAGAGTGCAGCTGTCTCTGATGAATCGTCCCTACTACCTGCCCAGAATTTCCTACCCAGGATTATGAGCGGATGTAGCACACCTCCACAGCTTTCTAGCAAATCCAAACAGGTAATCGTGCGTTGGAAATTTTCCAGTGAGAAGTCATAGTTGTGGTTTTTGGAAGGATAACTTTGGTTGATTAAACTGGCATTGTTTTCCTTTTTTTTCTGGAATACTAAAGGGACAATTTTCGGAATACTAGAAAAGTTTTCACGAATTCTGTAAAAAAATTCGTTGTTTTGGAGATATAAGATAAGCTCGAAGAATGGCTATCCGCGACTACTAATGAAATTTGAGCAGGGATGGGCAATGGTTGACTCTGGTTCCGTCAAAACATGAATCAACTCACCGATATAACCTTTTTGCAGTACCTTTTCCTTTGTCTTCAACCACCCCAATCAAATTGTTGAAAACTGCTGGGTTCTCTAGTGGTATACCACAATGGATAACACATCCTGTGGTATAAAACATGCCGGTGAACTGAAAAATGGAGAAGTCACTATGAAAAACCTCAAAACTTGAACTCTTCACTCGGAAGGATTATAAGTACCCTAAACAGAAGCATCGTCGAACTTCGTGAAGAAGATAGGTGTCTACTCTCGATAAGGGTGCACTAGGAATAAAAAAGGCCTTTACTTTTGGTCGGACAAAGTTATGCTTTCGATGAAGGCCTTATCGATTGTGATTTTATAAAAAAGAAAGAGAGAAAAGGAACAAAAAGAGACTATTGATGGCAAACAGAACCTTATTACCCCATTGAATCGTCACGTGAGAAGCCTCCATTGTGCTCTTGTTGGAATGTGCCGAGCGAAGCGTTAGTATCAATGTATCCTCTGCACTCAGGACACACGCAAACAAGTTTCTTTTTATTAAAAAAAAACTTGAAAAAAGTCACATTTAACGCACTCCCAATCCACTGCAACCACTGCACCAACAGCTGGCACGTCCGCCGAAAAAAAATTCCCCACCACCCATCTCTTCTTAATAATTAGTAAGAAAGTCGATGTCGACTTCTTCTTAACGACTAAAGCGTTGTCACGATTCGACATGACCCCATTTGGCAAACGCCCTGAAAACGAATGAATACGAACAAGCAATGAAAAAGGTGGTAATTGAAGAGGACTCTTCATAGAAGAAGGTCGAGCTGTCAAAGTATTTATGCCACCTCAGCAAGAGGAATCGATATCGAAGGAATGACATACAGAAAAACTTAGCCGACGTGCCCCGATTCCCAAACATTTCCTCGGCGAAAATGCAATAAACAGCACATTTCAATCAGATCATCGCTTTGTTATCTTTTCATAAACGTTGAAGAGCGTTCATGGGTCTCGATGCCCGGTTCAAGGGCTTTGGCCGATTACGCTTTAAAGCGCCGCATGGCACTATGGATTAGTTTTGCCAAGTTCATAGTCCCTAGGCATGTCTACGATACAGTAAATGGATGCGCTCTTTTACTCAGAAGACTAGACACCCTCCGCTTCAAAAAACGAGAAAGTGTCGGGTGCAGACCATGCACCACAAGTGACGACGGCCTTCACAAAATGTTAATGTTTTCTGCCAATGAAATGATTAGCCTGTTGCAGTTGTATTCTATCGATTGTCACTAATTACAACTATCATTTACCAGAAATCAGCTATCACTATGAACAACTTCTAACCAGATTTCCTTGGAGGCCGTCGTCAGTTTGTGGTGTTTGGTCTTATCAGATTATAGGTTCGCGAGGCCTTAATCTGAAGGTGTGTAGCGGTATTTTACAGAACACTATTGGCTATACATATTTATTATAAGGGTAATGAGAGAAGAGGAGAAACGGGGTGGAGGTAGTGAGTGACGACTGACGACTGCCGGCTCCTTATCTCGGGGGTCGACGGGTGGCCCTTCCTTCGGTACCATCAGCCGGGGCCACGCCCATCTATCGAAGACGTGGACCCGACATCTCCATTCCTTACAGTGAGCTCGTCCTCGAGCTCTTAGCATCGTTCCAAATGTGTCCTCCAGAATCCAATAGCGGAAATACTTCGAATGACATAATGACAATAATAAATGCAGGTGAGGTCGGAGAGTTACCCGAAACAGGTAACCACGTCCTCGCTCACAACAGCGTTGTCATTCGACAACACTGGAAGACACAAATTCTTTCGAAACGATGGACTGAATTGATACAGTGATGTGAATTCATAAGAGCAGGAAAGACCATAGACATTGTTTAGAGGAAGATGGATCGAGCTTATGCTAGAGCTTTTAAGACGATCGGTGAGTACGGTGACCAAGAAGTGGCATTCACGTCCCGTGCTTCAATAAGGTAGTCTCGTCCTCGATGCGAGTTAGTTGACAACAGAAGATTGGATAAGACCGCAGAACGGTTCCTTGTTGTAAAGGGTGGTGCAATGTATGAGTTTGAGAAAAAAAATTGCAATACCAAATATGAATAATCCTACTTTACGAGTTACCTATACATGTATTCATTTCTATTTAGAGTTCGAAAACTTTGGTCGTGCTTGCATAAAAAAGAAACATCGAATAATGAGTCTAGTGTTCAGACAACCGGTTAGTATAAACACAAAAGGTTTATGTATAGCCTTTTTTATATGGATTTTTCATCTATCAACAAAGATGTAATTATGTATTACACATGGGAAATCTCGGGTCATTTGATGACTAAGATAAAAGCATATACCACACTTAAAATCGGTACGAATACTAGTCTTGCTAAAAATATTCCTATTTTCGACTAGTATAAGGGCGTGTGTGGTGGGATTTATCAAAGCGTTGTTGATTTAGTAGAAAGATTTGCTGCATTATCTAGAGTTCTTTGAACCGCCTATTCAAAGAGCTTGTGAGAGTGAATTTTTACGGCGCTGCGGCTAAAGAAAAGAAACAAAACTGGCCTTTGTAGAGCTAACTGTTTCGAGTTAACAGCGTTAGTTTCGTAAATTCGTCGTCGTCCGACGCTAAAGCTAAGACTAAGGTTGCCTGAAATCGGGCGAAAGACGTAGTAGAGAGTTTGTCGGTTGACAGATGATTGTCGTCTGATGTGAATAACCGAGAGGTGTAGGATTGAGTGGAACATTATCGTCAGAAGGAACAGGGGTGAGATCCAGATTGAGAGAACGGGTTAAAGCGGTGAACATGCATGGTCGTGAGGACTGCGTACGAAGGGCGGATTATGGTGATAATTCCGAATCTATTTATCGTCGCGGGCGACCTTGAACGGACCTTAGTCCATTGGTCGTTAGAATTTTGGAAACAGACTATTCAGGTCTTGAAAGACTAGACAGTTCCAAGGCAATATGTTTCGGGTGACATACCTTGTAGTGTTAGATCGCAAGCTTTTGCTAGGATTGACCTTTTCAGCGCGAGTTGCGTCCCAGCTGTCGATTATGTATGCTGGGGTTAAGCTGGTCGGGCGAACGTGCTCAGCGAAGTCCGATCGAGGCTACTAAGCTGAGGCAGCTTCTGGAGTATAACCTCTGCAGTTTTTTTTTTCTTTTTTTTTTTTTTTTTTTTTTTTTTGTGTTTTTTCATTGGATACCTACCATAAACAGTGAAGAACGGGCTATAACCTGTTACGCATTTTTGCTGCAGCTGTATGCGAAAACAAAAGGTTGGACAAAATCTGACCTTTGGTGTCTAGCTCTCAATAATATGCTGTTAGAAAGTCATGATAACCTTTCAGGTCGTTGGTTGTGCTTGATCATCTAACCTGGATGCTGTACAAGAGTGGTATTTTTACAAGAGCTTTTTTGATCTTAGAATGTACCTCACTAGTGTCATTGATCAGGGCTTTTACCACTGTATCAGTGGTCTGATCTTCTAGCGACGTACATACTATAGATTTGCTAAAGGCGCATACGGTTTTGAAAATAAATTTACTTCCGTTCACTTTAAGGTAACGGTCCAATTATTTTTGTGTGAACACGTTCAAAAGGTCGGGTAGGCATTGGAAAAATTCCCATTTCCTCCTCAAAATACATTTTGAAGGTATTTTCACCTTTTGGCGAGTTAGGTATGTACTGACGTAAGACTTTACATCTTGACACAGCCAAAAAGTACTTCTCTTTTATGCTTTTGTATGTTATGCCTATTCCTAGATGCGATTTCAAGAGCGGCTTTTCGTGTAATATAGCTACTATGCTGATTTGCCTGCTCTAATCTGGAATAAACAATGATTTTCTCTCATGTATTTTGTACTACAGAGAAGGCTTTCAAGCATAGAGAAGTTTTTAGTTAGTCTCGAAAATCTTCAGTATGTTCTTTAGCTCATTAAGTAAGGTACTTTGTGACCAACGGAGAACTTTGTTGACATACTTGAATTTTTTGAGAAAGGGGACTGATCGCGTTTCAACTGCATTAACGAGGGGTAGCGGAACGACTTAGACAATCACAGAATGCTATAATTACCTGCCCGATATCGATCGTATATCAGAAGCTAGATCGCAATTGGTATTTTGCTTAATGCCGCCCAACCAAGTCTGCCCTGCTGATTAGGTCTGAAGTGCGCGCCGTGAAGCGCGACATTATACACTGACAGCAAATCATGCACACGCGCGCGCGGACACGTGATCAGTATGAAGAGAAAATTTCGCGTTTGCTACGTAAGATAAAGCTAGTGCGAAGACTATTGCTAAGGCTTTTAACCCAGTAATGGCGTAGTTTCTCTCTCATGAGAACGCAAACATACAAATAGCGCTTGTTTAGCAGGCTATTGAGAGTCGTAGCTGTGATAGAAAGAACGCGGTAAAAACGGCGCAAATATGATGCTGCTCCAAAGACTTTTCAAAGCTGTTACATTTATGGGCAAATATCAGCAATGCTCGCTACTTCATCTGGGTTAGTACGAGATGCTAATAATGACTAGGTAACGTACACACTTTAGTTGGAAAACAAACACTTTTTCGGATTGATTTTCTTTCTAAGGTGTTTTATGTGTTAATTCTTATTTTGTGGTGTCGGTCTACTGACAGACGATCATTATCGAAGTATGCGAAACGGTTGGTTTTGAATCACACAGTCAACATGCAACGTAGGTAAGGCCGTTTCCCACTCTCTGAAAGTAGTTGAGGCATCTTTTAGCCCTTAGCCACTACCCTGTGCTGGTATGATTCCAAAAAGACCGAAACGCTGTGAGTTCCTAAATCAGGAGAAAAACCACTTTTGAAATCCAAAACCGAGTATTTTCTCCATCTTACCAGCCAAACTATTTGGTATATGTGGAACACAATATGCTCGTGTCTCCGTAACTGCACTGATTTGACCAATGTCTATGGAGAATAATGTTGATTTTATTTAAATCTTTCTTGATCACCTACAAAAGAGGCAAACGTGAGTCAGTGCTGATTTCGACGGTAATGTTAGCTTGTTCGAATTCGGGCTCGTAGCGAGTCGAGTGGCCTTTTCATTATACGGACGGCGGTGGAGGCTGCTCTAATAAGTTGGGCATTGGATTGAGGATGTTTTGGGCGATCAATCGACGAACAAGTAGGTAGACTGTGTGGGTGTTACGATAGCTATAAAATTTACTATGAGTAGGAGCAAAGGCGTCTGATAGTCATTTTACTCTATTCTGGGTTCTGCGAAACTTCGTTACGGGAAGCAGTGAGGTTATTCTTACATTTTTTCTACTTCTTAGTTGAAACGTCATTAAAACGTCACAGATTTTGTATACGAGACAAAATATTGCTTTTACATTGACAATTTGAACATTTTATCAAGAGGATGGGGAATGAACTTTCAGGGTTAAGTGACTTATACACTTCAGCGTTTATCTCGTTGCTGTTTGTGAATCAAACGAATGGAGCTGTTGAAAAAGAGTTAGATAAGCAATGTTGAAAATAATCATGAGAGTTTCAGCTGTTCCAAAAGAAGACCGCTAGAATGAGGTTCAAATGCTGCGAATTACAGGAGAAATTTTTAACCTTACGACTTGAAGTATCAAGAAAGTCTCTCTCACAATATCAATTTTTGCTTGATGAGTTTAAACTATCAGTTTTTGGTGAAAAGTTACAGATCTCAACTTTTACAACATTCAATCATGTACACTATGATGTGAATAAGAGCGGCATTTATTCTGAAATGGTTGAGCCCTACATAAACTTTTTGAAAGAACCACACATTTGATTGAAAGGGTACCATTTTCACTGACCTGCCTTCTGCATCTAGTGAACAGTACTATGAATCGTTTCTCTTCATCGATTACCAAAAGATGTGAGATCAGCAGTGAGAGCATTCGTAGTAAAGT